CCCCAAAGTCTATATAAGTATTTAGACCTTGTACACCCCTTCCTCCCAGACCCTCCCAGCGCATCCCATTCTTTCCTCCTTCAGGTACACCAACCATCCTTTGTCGCAACAACCTCCTTCCCTGGATTCTCTCTCCCTCCTGACGAATTTCCTGAATGGTCTAACCGGCTTTAAAAAACCTTTTCTTTTTGGCTGATCCCTACCTTAGCCTACGGGCATCTTTACAAAATAATTCTTCCTTTGACAACGTTGACTTAATCATCTTTATTAGTCCCTATCTTCTTTTACTTCTATACTTCTTATTTCATCAACTAACCCCCGTCTATATCTTTTTTTACTATTATACCTTTCTATAATGCTATATGACCTTTGATACCTAGTTCTATCTATTTTGCTTTGTGTCCATTAATCATTATAAACGTAAAATAAAAATCCACCACAGTAAAATAAAATCCACAAAATAAACAAAATGAAATAAAAAGTAATCAAAATTCACAAAAATCACAAAATAAACAAATGAAATAAAAAATGTAATCAAATTCACTAAAAAAACAATAAAAAAAACACCTGCACTCACCATTGTCGAATTCTAACCAGATGTAGTGTCGTTCTGTTCACCAGCACGCCACGCCCCATACACGCTAATTATCGACGAGCTGACTGACTTCCCATAATCTTTTCCCCTATCTACCTTATCTACTCCACCCATCCATTTTGCTCTAATCGATGTGAAATACCTTTATCTCGTATTTTGTAATTGGAAAAAATTATATGAATACATTGTTGGTGTCCTCATGGTATAGATTCATATGTATTATATTTATTATGTACTAATATCATATGGTTTCTTTGGTGTGGATGGGCGAGCTGTATACTTTGTCAATGGTTTGTTTTCCTTACTGCTTGTTTTCTCTCACTGGTTGCTTTATAGTTGCTCTGTTCATTAAATGTATATCCATATATTCTACAGTATAATTCTGTAGGCACACAAAAATTATGCAATCCTATGACTCTATTTTGCCTCTGAGCATGTAATAGTTAGCAGTTCATGAATAACATTAATACAAGCTGTTTGTACCTATGAACAGAATTCTCATACATGATCATTTATTTTAGTTCACCCTGCATGAACAACATTTATATTGAGTATTTATACCTGCGAACACATCAAAATTATTGACAATAATGTAAGTATTACATCAACTGACCGTGTCGCATTAATATTGCCAAGTACTGAGTACTCACAGCCTAATGTATTAGCCAAGTTTTGGGGGGACTAATATGAAATTCATAGAAAACACGTAAGGGTAAAAATGCCTCGCTTTGTTTTTTGTAAGCTGATGTCCCAGGCTCGGATTAAGGCTAATTATTGTCTGTAAGGATGTTCTTATCATCACACATTTGATAGAATTGTACGCATTGCAAGAGGGAAGAAATCTACTTTCCCTAGTTTGTTAAGAAATAATAATAAAATAAATAAACACACACACAGTAAGATGAATCATTGAATCGCTGTAAACAGACGTTTTTAATTCTTAACTAGAAGCACAATTTATAATACTCTTTATTTTACTTTAAACCACAATGTTTACCAGCCTCTTTTAAGTGCATATTCACAGCTTCACTCTGCTGCTGCTTGTACCACTTTTGCACGACTAGGAATAAGTGTCGTAGTGTTTATACCAGTTGCCCTTTAACACATTAGGTGCTTAATGGGTATCTAAAATTCCCGTCCAAGAATTGATGGTATATATAAAAAAGAAAAAAAAAATGTGGTCCACGGTTATATTTTAGCTTCTTGGAGGAAAATTTCGCTGAGGACTCCCATTAAAATGATTCTTAGTTCGCTAAAATACTAATAAAAGAAACACTGCAGATTATTCAGACTCTTGGCGTCACAAACTAGCCAATGCCTATTTTGAAGTACAGGATCACGGACCTCTGTGGCACCTCATTAAACCCCTCATTAGCGTAATTAACAAAGTACTGAGACTCGAACGGTACTCGGGTTTGAAACTTTATAACACGTTTTTGTTTTTTTTTTTTCCAACTTATCTTCTTTAGTTTAGTCTCACATAAGAGGTTTCCCATCTTGCGACTTGCAAGTTTTTGAAAGTTAAAAAATCGGAAATTAATTTAACATAAGCTGTATTTCCTTACCCACCATTTCTTTCCTTAATTAACAGGAAATTCACCGTATATCTATTTTCTCTTTAAAAGGTATCTAAATGAACTTGGAATCCTCAAATCAGGTGCGTTTTCTAAGCGACCTTGGCTTGATAAATTTGATTTTGATTTTAGTACAGATCCCATTTGAGAATGTGGAAGAAAGTTCATCGTTTTCTAAAGACAAGATTTTTTATTTATTCATTTTTTATCTATTTTTTTTTATTTTGTTTTTTATTACACACACACACACACACACACACACACACACACACACACACACACACACACACACACACACACACATATATATATATATATATATATATATATAATATATTATATATATATATATTATATATATATTGCTACGTTGAAGAATATTGGTCTTGCAGAAATAATAAAAACTAGTAATAAAAAAAGGATAAAGAAAAATAAAATAGGAGTAAGTTTCATTATTTTGTAATAATTTACATACAATCTGATTTAAGTATATTTTTCTACACATAACCCGGATGAAAAAATGAAATAGATCTTAAAAATAGATAAGAAAAAAGGCTGTGTAAATATAATTCATATATACGTTTTTTTTCCACAGGTGCAAATTGAACATCATCTCATCTACAAATAATTGGGTATCGATGTAGTTATTCAAATTAGAGGTTTATAATGAAAAAGAAAGAAAATCAGAAAGTTAAACATTTATTTACATACAATCAGGCTGTGATCTGAATAACAAATAACATGAACCTCTCACCTATAAGAGAATAAACTTAGCTATTGGTAAGTTAAGTACCCAAAGAGAAAATGTTTACGGTTAGGGGAAAAAACGTAATTACAAGATATATACAAAAAAAACAATAGGTATCTTTTTATTGGGTATGTTTTCGATATGATAAATGTTGTCATTTTTGTCAGTTGTATTGACATGTATATATATATATATATATATATATATATATATATATATATAATATAATATATATATATATATATATATATATATAAATATATATATATATATATATATATATATATATATATATATTATATATATATATATATATATATATATATATAATATATATATATATATATATATATACACATATATATGTGTGTGAATATACATATATAATACTAATAACAATAATAATAATGATAATGATAATAATAATAATGATGAATCTATCTGTATCAAGGAGAGAGAAGCCTGCGATTACACGTGATCATTAACTACGATAAACTGATGTAGGAAACATAACAAATAAACTTCACTGACCATTCGTCATTATTCACGCAGTAATAATCTTAAATGTAGCTTTACATATATGTATTTTAAAAGGCATCACACGCGTCACACGAGTACAGAGAAAAGGCAGAGGAGAGCGTCTGATTAACACATCTGAAGAATTTTGGTCTGACAGAAATAAAAGATTAAGAGAGAGAGAGAGAGAGAGAGAGAGAGAGAGAGAGAGAGAGAGAGAGAGAGAGAGAGGGGAGAGAGAGAGAGAGAGAGAGAGAGAGAGAGAGAGAGAGAGAGGAGAGAGAGAGAGAGTAGAGAGGTGAGAGGTAGAGAGAGAGAAATAGGCGTATGATTATCTTGTTGCTCTATAGAGTTCCTGCGTTTGGCGTGGAGGAAAGAGGAAGGACTCCGTGCCTACAAGTGGTCAGCCCAGGGGGAGACGCGGCCGTGCACGGGGGCGGTGGCCGAGCTCCTGTTCGGATGGGCGTAGATAGGTTCCTTAGGGTGTGTGTCGAACCTGGACGGGACCTCGCCTCGGAACCGGCTCTGAGTGTCGTACACCTCAGGAAGATCTTGGAGGGCCTGCTCATACGGCGGCTTGTACTGTGAAAAGGAACAGCGAGAGAGCGAGTTAGAAAAAAAAAAAAAATCGAAAAGGGCCACGTTTTCACCCACAACGGATCGAAGAAGAGCAAAAATTTTAATGCAAGAGGAACCCACAAGAGGGCCAGGTATCCATCCACAACAGATCGAAGAGCAAAAAAGGTTTATCGAACACCCAAAAAAAAAGATTAATTCGAAAGCCAGCAACCCTCACCACGTGCGTGAGCGACCCGGAAACCGCTGCCACCATTACGGTCCACACGAATGAGAAACTGCAACCGAAGAGTGTGACGTACACGAACCAGGGATCAAACATTATCCCGTACATAGCATACCACACGACGCTGGTTACCCACTCTGCGAACCCGACCAACAGGAAAGCCACCAACTGGGCTGTATTTCTCCGAACAGACTGGATAACCTCAGGTGTCAGCTGACGGCTACCCTGGCGAGAAAAATGGCCGCTTCAGTTATGGGGAAGAAATAATGATGATGATAGGGATGGTGTCAATTAAATTAGCAGTGAGTAAGGGATATAATTATGCGATATAATGATAATAAAAAAGGTTAAGAGTTTTGATAATGATAACATGATAACATGATAAATAGCAGAAAGGATAACGATAATAACAATAACAATGATGGTGAGTTACCAATGGATAAAATCATAAACATTATTGGCAAGCAAAATAATTATCAGTATGGTAATGATCATAACAAGAATGATGGAACTAATATTTATAATAATAGTAATCATAATGTATTAATCGACATACAAATAAAAAAATAGATACATAAGATATTCCAATGATAATAAAAACATTAATAACTTCAGCAGAACCATCATCATATCAATGACAGCTGCAACGATTATTGCAATAACATTGATGGTATAAACACTGTAATAATAATAATCACACCAGGGACTAATGATAATAATAATAATAATCATTGCAATTATTACTATTAGAACACATTATCTTTAACATTGATAATCATGCTGGTAATAATTTCTATCACGATTATCAAAATTATTACTACGATCATCAAATTATATACGATCAAAATTATTACTACGATCACGATTATCAAAATTATTACTACGATCACGATTATCAAAATTATTACTACGATACTCACTGCCATTATCGTAGTCATTATCAGTGTCTTTCAAAACGCAAATAAGTCAAATAAAGACAAGTCAGAAAACAAATTTTGAAAATGCGAAACGAGCTTTAATGGAGCTTTACTAAAAAAAAAAAAAAAAAAAAAAGAAAAAAAAAAAAATTTATAGAATAGGGTCTTGATTTTTTTTTTACAAATATACTAAATACTACGACTTCACAGAGGTGAATGAAGGCTTCACTAAACCATTGTATTTTTTTACTGTGAGTTTGAAGATGATGAGACACGTCAGGTAGACATAGGCGATGTTTACACCTATCAGTATTACCGCCGCAGCTGTTAAGGCGAATGGAGAATGGTAATCTGAAAGAGAGACGAGAGGAATATTACTTTTGCTTCTCTATCAAAGACTATATACGAAAGATAAATACGAAGGATAGGAAGGCATGGCAAAAAGTCTGTACGAGCCCCATCTGTTGACGGATAGTGTGATATCTGAACAATAGATGGCGCTGTAAGAAGTTTCTGATATCTGAACAATAGATGGCGCTGTAAGAAGTTTCGGGTATCACATTTTTTCAACGGTGTGTGATACGTGTTTTCCTATCTTTCATATTTCTTTGCTTCTTTAAGCATCTTGTGATATAGCAATGTACAAAAAGGCTAGTGTATGACACGTAGTGTGTGTGTGTGTATGTGTGTGTGTGTGTGTGTTGTGTGGTGTGTGGTGTGTGTGTGTGTGTGTGTGTGTGTGTGTGTGTGTGTGTGTTGTGTGTGTGTGTGTGTTGGTGTGTGTGTGTGTGTGTGTGAGAGAGAGAGAGAGAGAGAGAGAGAGAGAGAGAGAGAGAGAGAGAGAGGAGAGAGAGAGAGAGAGAGAGAGAGAGAGAGCGAGACGAACGAACATATACATATATGTATGTTGTGTGTTCCTGCATGTGATGAAGTGTATTTTTGTGTGTGTAAAATACGAACAAATATGCTTTACTTACATCCATTAAAACCGTAAAAGCCATAGCCACAAGTGAAGCCAATGGCGGTAGGCCAGATAACCTGCGAAATAGGGAGAAGAAAGAGCTAAGTAGAAGAAAGCAAAATAGCAGGTCAAGTATTCTATATTCAACCTTCGTTTTCGAACTCAGATGACGTCAGACTCCTTTTTATTTTCATAATACAGAGAACGGAGTAAACATTTTTCTCGTTTGGTTGTCGGAAACTGCAGGAATATTATTGCCAGGTACCACTAACATATCGGAAATGGTGAATTTGTAAATAACTGGCAACAAGAAGGATGAAGAGATATTGAATATAAAAACCCAAGATGAATGATAATAATAAAAAAATGATCATATTCACCATTTACATTATCATCAGCATCAACATCATTATCAACAGGAACATTGACATTATCATCATTATTATCACCAAGGCTTGTCTATCTTACGATTTAACATTCGCTTATCGGTTTTTTTAATCAGTACACCCACTTTCGCCCCGCATTCATATCTTCATAACAGATGACAGACTTAAGCACGGAAAAACTACACAATTTTTATTTAACCTAAATTTCACTTTTATTAGGTTGCACTTCTGGCATCTTAAATTCAGCTTTAGGTATTCTAATTTCAGTTACGGTTGTTTCAATTGAATCTTCAGTTGGTATGAGTTAAAGCCCAGTTATTCATTATTCAAATTTAAGGGTGAAAATAGAATAGTATTAGCAGGAAGCTTTGATGAGTGAGAGAGAGAGGAGAGAGAGAGAGGAGAGAGAGAGAGAGAGAGAGAGAGAGAGAGAGAGAGAGAGAGAGAGAGAGAGAGAGAGAGAGAGAGAGAGAGAGAGAGAGAGAGAGGGAGATGATAGATAGATAGAGATAGAGAGAGAGAGAGAGAGAGAGAGAGAGAGAGAGAGAGAGAGTACAATACCCCCAAAAATTATCGTACTGTCAAAATTTATATTGTTTTCATTTGTTTTGTTAATTTGTGTTCTATGGATGGGATATCAAGGAAACGGACGGTTAGTATCAAAACACTGAGAAGGAGTATGAAGAACCAGATTATTGTTGTCCACTATGAGTATATAAAACCCAAAATTCATGAATATATATGTACTTAATCCGTGGTATAATCCTGTCTGTTTTGAATTTGGTACATGCAGGGGACGAGCATGTGTGTCTCGGTTAGCAAGACATGCAAGAATAAATAACATACGCCATAATTCTTTGAAGGAAACTTTCATCTAACATGAAGTGGATCGCAGCAGGAAAGACATTTTAAGATGAAAACAAGCTGACAAGACGTTTGACTTTAATAACATCACGAGTATGTTAAATGCTTGTTTGTAAAGATTTAAAAAATGTATTACTTACAAGCCTGTGGAAGCAAGGACGATGGTGAAATACTTGTTGATGAAGCTTAAAAAAGATATTACTTACAAGCCCTATGGAACTGAAGATGGTGAACTGCTTGTTTGTAAAGATTAAAAAAATATTACTTACAAGCCCTATGGTACCTTGGACGACGATGAAATACTTGTTGATGAAGATTAAAAAAGGATATTACAAGCTCTATGCTGATGGTGAAACTTGTTGATGAAGCTTAAAAAAATGCCTATGTACTTACTTACAAGCCCTATGGAACCAAGGACGACGATGAAATACTTGTTGATGAAGATTAAAAAAGGGATATTACAAGCTCTATGTAAAGATTTTTATAAAGTATTACTTACAAGCCCTGTGGAGCCAAGGACGAGGGTGAAATACTTGTTGATAAAGCTTAAAAATATATTAAAAAAATTACTATTACTTACAAGCCCTATGGAACCTAGGATGATGGTGAAATGCTTGTTGATAAGGCTTAAAAGGAATATTATTTACAAGCCCTATGGAACCAAGGGCGATGGTGATTTTTGATGAAGCTTAAAAATACTACCCGTATGGAACTGGATAATGCGATATACTTGTTTGTAAAGATTAAAAAAAGGATATTACAAGCTCTATGAAACTAAGGATGATGTGAAATGAAAAGATTAAAAGTATTTACTTACAAGCCGCATGGAAGGACGATGAAATACTTGTTGATAAAGAAAAATTATTTACAAGCCCTATGGAACCAAGACGAGGGTGAAATACTTGTTGATAAGCTTTACAAAGGATATTACAAGCCCTATGGAAACTAAGGATAATGGTGAAATACTTGTTGATAAGGCTTAAAAAAGGATATTACAAGCCGCATGGAACCAAGAACGAGGGTGAAATACTTGTTGATAAGGCTTAAAAAAAGGAATATTACTTACAAGCCCATGGAACCAAGAATGACGGTGAAATACTTGTTGATAAAGCTTTAAAAAAGGATATTACTTACAAGCCCTATGGAACCTAGGACGATGGTCGAGATCTTGAGAGAGAAGACAGAGCAACACTCCGGTGATCTTTGTGACTCCATTTTCTGCAACAGAGTAAGTAACGTCAATTACCGGAGTCCCTGGCAGCTGCTTCGTCGTCGTGTAGGATCTGTTCTTAGGTAAGTCATTTACCTTCACATTCTCGACAAAATGTATCGAGAAAACAAAATTTGCAATAAGAGTTTGTAAAGAACTTCAAAAGGTCCAACATCAAGTGTAACATTAAGTGTTCCGTATTGAGTGTAGAGGACACAAAAGGAAAATATTGTAGGCCTTGTATTTATGTGTTATTGTACTACATTACATGTTATTTCGTATAAACCATTTCAATCGATTTTGATAAACTAATTTATACGAAAATTAGCATTCTCTTCGAGACACTGTCATCTGGCGAGTCACAATAAACTTAATGTTATCACAACCTATACTTGGAGTACTTTAAACAGCGAAAAGGACGCTCATAAAACCTCATTTTCTTTTGATCACAACCGAAAATTAGTAACCACAAAAAAAAGGATCTTATATCAATTAGAATAACATTAATGATGAAAATTACGTGAACATCACATACCCAACTATTAGCACACACACACCCCAAATCTCTTATATCAATTTAAACAGCCGTAAGGGCGATGGAAATAGATTTACCAAGTGTAGGAAAACCCTTAACAACCCAGCAGATAGCACGCACCACTGTGAACCGAAGCCACACTACAGAATGGGACTTGTTCGCGATGACTCAAGACTCTTATCTCTTCTGTGTTTTTATCATCTTTATCTAGTGTTCGTATGCTGGCATAGTCACCCTTATCACAGCGATAATGTATTTTGTGTATTTCGTTATATAGTCATTCTGTAAAAATGATTTATTGGTATTAGATTCGCGGAAGGAAGTATATTTGTTGAATTAGTTTTAAAGTTGTTATTGATGTTATGATTCTCAGTGTGTTATGTCCGCTATTGCTGTATTTGTTGTTCATTTATGTAATGGTTCGTTGTCAGGATTATGGGAAAAAAAGTTGTTGACGGATTGAGACGAAAATGCACGGCTGGTTATCTACGTTCAAGTGAAAGGAGAAGAAAATAGATTCGAGTCTCTCTCTCCCTCTCATTCTCTCTCTCTCTCTCCTCTCTCTCTCTCTCTCTCTCTCTCTCTCTCTCTCTCTCTCTCTCTCTCTCTCTCTCTCTCTCTCTCTCTCTATCTCTCTCTCTCTCTCTCTCTCTCTCTCTCTCTCTCTCTCTCTCTCTCTCTCTCTCTCTCTCTCTCTCTCTCTCTCTCGTCTCTCTCTCTCTCTTTCTTTTTCTGTTCTTTCCACCCCTCTGTGTGTCTGTTTTCTGCATCTCTCTTTTGCTCGAAATGAAGACGCCAAGTTGATGGATCTGACTTGCGACAAATCAATATTATAGTCGCCACATTTGGTAGCAAATTATTGGTCTCAGATTCAATGCATGATATCGTTCTATGAAGTTCGATAATAATAAAAAAAATAGCTTTATCTTTTGCATGAGGATGCCTTTACAGAACACCATTATACTTTGCTTAGTTTATGGGTTTGTGAGTTTTCTATGTGGTTCTCTAGAATTGTGAGGTCCGTGTATTAATGGGGAAGGCCCACGCCATCCTTGTCACGAGTTTTTTTTTTTTTTTTTTTTTTTTTTTTTTGTAGCATAGGCAATAATTTGATACAATGGACAGTTGTGTAATTTTATCGGATATTTCGGTTTCATAAAACTAAGTGGATTGTTGATAAGGACTTTGCATACTTCGGTAAATTCTAGTCACAGTGAGCATGTTTTTGTGTTGTTGTTGTTTTTCAATTTTGAGGTAAATGATAGCCTACCCATGATCTGGATTAGTGATATAAAGATTATTTCGAAACAAAATTGTGTCTGTCTGTCGTCCTAAATGAAAATTTGTTTAAATACATATATGTTGCTATTGTGGGGATCTGAAGCCTCTTAAAATGCTCAGAGAGTTTCACTAAAACACTGTAGGTCCTTATACGAAGTGTGTATAACGAAAAATAACAGAGCTTCGGGTTTTGTGTGTATATTCCTGAGGGGTTTGGTGGAGAAGCTCACTGACGAGCGAGTCTATGAGTTAAAGATTTAAAGATTTAGTTTCAGTTCCATTTGTTGCGGTGGATATTCTTTGCTGTGACATACTCTGCCACAACATGAGCCTGCCTTCCCTCTGCCACAACATGAACCTGCTTTCCCTCTGCCACAACATCTACTGCCTTCCCTCTGCCACAACATGAGGAAAGGAAAGTGCGACCGAGCGAGAAAGAGAGAGAGAGAGAGAGAGAGAGAGAGAGAGAAGAGAGAAGAGAGAGAGAGAGAGAGAGGAGACAGAGAGAGAGACAGACAGACAGAGAGAGAGAGAGAGGTCTGTTTTATTTTGGTTCTGAATCTCCCCCCTGTGTTTGCTGGAATGGCCGGGTTACCATCCACGCAGCAGCTGGATGGAACGCGCAGGTCAGCAAGATTGCAAGGCCAGCGCCAGGTTAATCATTGCACTTCATAGCACATTACATTACACAACTGCCCAAACAAACAGTATTGAGAGCTAATTACACTGGCTATCAATGGTTCGTAAACATATTCTTTAAGAGCACTGTGTACACTTCATATATACATTCTAAATACAGTGTGTCCTGGGCTTGAAGTCCTGTTGGCTAGCTGTTTAACACATACGTACTGATAACAAGCTATGTCATTAAAACTTATATCAGCATCAATCGCTGTGTTTAGCTGATCTATAAACTCCGTATCATTTGTGAATTCATGATCGAAAAACAATATTGACAATATTGTGAATCCATTTTTTTTTAGAACATCCCTCCACTTTTCTGAAAACAATAATTGACAAAATTGTGAATCCATTTTTTTTTTCAAAACATCCACTTTTCTTAAATTATTGACAATTGTGAATTCCATTTTTTTTTTTTTTTTTTTTTTTTTTTTTTTAGGTAAGCACGCTCCACTTTTCTTCCAATTCCGCAAAACCTTCGTAACTACTGGTCCGCCCTGTCTCAGGCACTGGAGTAATGGGGTTTTTTTTCATTGCCACGGTTGTTGTGGGAGGTTAACACGGGGCGGAAAGGGGAGTGTGAAGGCCCTCGTTGGCTCCTCGTTGGGTAGTTTCCTCTCGGCGAAGGGAGGGTCCTGAGCTCCATTTTGCGGTCGCCAGAATGTACGGAAACCAAGATCAAGGAATCAGAAGAATGAAGTGTTCCCAGATTCCCAAGCGCACCGAAGACTTCTTAGACGTCATAGCACAATGTATATAGATATATATATAAGTATATATATGATATTATATATATATATAGATATATATAGCATATATGTATATTATATCCATATTTATCATTTATAATATAAGATATGAATATTTAGGTGTATATTAGTCACACTTATTCTTTCTTCGGCTGGATTTATTGTATCGGTTAGATAAATGTGAAGTTGTTTATACTCTGTAAAACTTACGTTCTCCTCTCTCTCTCTCTCTCTCTACTCTCTCTACTTTCTACTCTCCATCTCTCTCCACTGTAAGCTATCGTCTGCTCCTCTCCGTCTCTCTCCTCAACTCTCTGTCGTATATCAATCTCAATAAATACCATTCGCATAAACTCACCGTGAATGGTTGATAAGGAAATAAATTAAATCGCTATATGACAGTTTTCATCCCGTGAGTCACCAGATAAGAGGCATAATGCATTTGAAAAATACAACTTTTGTAATTATCGCTCCGCTTATGAATCACAAACTTATCAATCCATAAAGCATCTCAACGGATTGAGGCCAGCTGCGGATCTTCCACCCATATGATAAGGTACTGTGAGAGTTGGACGTGAGCCTGCATCTATGATTAAGTTGCGTATCGATATATATAAGTAGATATAACAGGAAAATTACCGATGTACTTGAACAGCCATTACGGACCGCAAATTGTGTCCACTGTGAGAGTTGAGCTCACGGCACATGGAATACTAAATATTAAGTAATATATATATATATTTAATATTATATTATATATATATATATATCATATAACATTTATATCAATGTACACACACACACACACACACACACACTCACCACACACAACACACGATATATTACATCTGGAACTATATAATCAGCATATATATATGAGTATATTACTATATATAAATATATGATTATAGATAGATATACAGTATACACACACCACAAACATACCGCACAAACACACACACAACACACGCACACGCAACGACACACGCATATATATAATATATATATAAAAACAGTATATATATATAGATATAATATATATAACATATATGGTGTGTGTGTGTGTGTGGTGTGTTTATTTATATATAGTATGTGTGTGTATGTATATATAATAAGAAATATGATATGAGATTATATATAAACACACACGCACACGCACGAACGCACACAGAACACACAAACAGAACCACACAAAGTACACACACACACAGCACACGACACGACACAGAGTGTCACATACATATATAATAGTTATATATATATATATATAGTAATAATATATATATATATAATATATAGTAGTAGGTACACATGTTAATTATGTCTATCTACAGACATCTTTCTCAATATATTTGTGGTGTGCGTGTGTGTGTGCGTGGTGTGTGTTTTTTCACGTTCACCTATTCCTCGGTGTAAAACCTTTCTTCCTGGTCTCTTCTGTTTCTCAATTCATTCCATATTTCTCAATTCATTCTCTATAAATTTGTATTCGGAAACTCCAACACTTTCCATTTGTGAAATATAGTCCCATTTACGACATTCCTCTCAAGTGAATGAAATGTGCCTTGCCATTGTCCATATCTATCCATATTTATCTATATCTATATATATCATAAAATATATTTATCCATATTTATCTATATCTATATTCATCATAAATATATTATCCATATATCTATATCTATATTCATCATAAATATTTTATCCATATTTATCTATATCTCATCATATATATTATTATCTATATCTCATCATTATCTATCCATATTTATCTATATCTATATTCATCATAAATATTTATTCCATATTTATCTATATCTAATCATCATAAATATCATATAAATATTTATCTATATCTATTTATCATAAATATCATCCATATTTATCTATATCTATATTCATCATAAATATCTATCCATATTTATCTATATCTATATTCATCATAAATATCTATCCATATTTATCTATATCTATATTCATCATAAATATCATCCATATTTATCTATATCTATATTCATCTAAATATCTATCATATTTATCTATATCTATATTCATCTAATATATCTATATTTATCTATATCTATATCTATATATCTATCCATATTAATATCTATATTCATATTATCTATCTATATCTATATCTATATTCATCATAAAATATCTCATATTTATCTATATCTATATTATCATAAATATTATGCATATTTATCTATATCTAATCATAAATATCATATTTATCTAATCTATATTCATCATAAATATCATATTATTTATCTATATCTATATTCATCATAAATATATCCATATTTATCTATATCTATATTCATCATAAATATCAATCCATATTTATCTATATCTATATTCATCATAAATATCTATCCATATTTATCTATATCTATATTCATCATAAATATCTATCCATATTTATCTATATCTATATTCATCATAAATATCTA